AATATGAAGCATCATGTGTAAATTTCCAGAGCTACATAGGTCACCTTTGATCACTATTTCACAAAAATAGAAAATTATTATGAATTAAACTGTTTCTTATTAGACTATTAAAAAGAAATAAAATAAGCATGTCCAACTGATTTATGTGCTAGAGAAAAGCTGTGGTGGCTTTACTGAAACCACTTCAGACTGAACATAAGGAAAAACTTCTTTACAAGTCGAGAGCCGAGGGTTTGGAACAGGCTCCCACCAAAAAGGTTGTACATTCATCCACCCTGGCGATTTTCAAAAAGCGTCCTGATGTCCACCTTGCTGGGGTCATCTGAGCCCAGCAGTCTTTCCTGCCCAAGTGCAGGGGGGGCTGGACCTGATGATCTGTAAGGTCCCTTCCAGTCCCTAACATCTATAAAACTATGGAAGTGGATGAGTAAGCTACTTTGAAGAGGTGAAGGTTTATCCACAAATCATATAGTAACTGTGAACAGGAGGCAGTTTTATATTAAAGAATATCCTAAATGGATTTAAAGAAACATTTTACTACCTATAATTTCAGTGTATTCTTATATATCATCTTTTAAATCTGTGATGCAAAACAGCCATCATTTGTTAGGTTCTTATCAGCTACACAAATACTGTATCAGTACTTAAATTCATAAATATTAAAAATGAGGTGTGGCTTGTGGTACTAAAAAAAGCTCATCAGTGCTAAGTTTCCTAACTGTGCTCTTTTTTATCATCAACAAACCTTTACACCTACTGGATTAAACAGTAACCTTACAAGGAAAATTCAGCAAGCACCCTGCTGGCTACTCCAAGATATACAGCAACAGCCAGATTTTCAGGGTGCCTTTAAAATGCACTTGCAATAGTAGTGAACACGTGAATTTATAGGTCCAGAGGGGCATCTGCTTATTTATTTACACTGAGCAAACAGATCTGCTTGAAATTATTCTGGGCTAAATTTTACACCTGAAAATCTATTCATAGTTCAGATATTTAAGTGCTAAAAATATCAATCCCTAATAGTCTTATTAATAGTAGAAATTTATTTCTTGGAGTAGCCCCTGTACATCTGAATACACTGCAGTAAGTAGTAAGGGAAGCCCTTGGATTTGCACTAGGCTTCATGTAAAGCTCTGCATATGACACTTGCATCAGGGTTACTGTTTTGTGAATGTACTATATTGTATTTGGGGTGTTTTCAAGGTTTGAAAGTCTAATTAATGAATTATGACAGTCAGTTATCTCTTTTAAAGAATTTGGAAACTCAGTTAAGAAATGGCAATTACTGCCTAAAACCCAGTTTCTTGAATAATGTGGTATGAATAATTATTTCATGTATAAAAATATATGAAGAGGCTTACCTCCCTATATAAAACATTTCAGAATTTTGAAGTGGAATTACTTGCCAAAAATGAGTAAAGACTTAAAATATTTTCTATCATATTACAAAACATTATAGAGTTGTTCTCTTCCCTTTGTTTTCTCCAGCTATGTGCCTCATTTGCTTTCTTGTTTTTTTTAAAAGAATGACACTAGTTAGTCCATGAAAGAGTTTAGAAAACCTTGTGACCAAATTTATATTTATGTTTATAACACCTGAGGACAGATTGTATAATTGCCACATTTCTTTTCTTTTTATATGAATCTTCATTTTGCCATTTTCTTCTTTAGTGGCCTTTTGAAAAATCCAAGCTGTGTATGAGAGGAAAAATGCAATTAAAACCAGAATTTTAGAAACCTTTTGGCAAAGTTTACAAGGCTTTTATTTATCTTATTTTATTTTATTTTTTAAATGCATTGCTCTAACGTTCATGGGTGAGTTATAACTCAGTGCCATATCAGTGAAGCTCAATGTTGTTTTCCTGAACTGGAAAAATAGAAGACATATCTCATGCCAACAGGCAAACTTAATGTACAGTAATTGCTGAATCATTCTTTTGTGACAAAGTGTCAGCGATTCGTTAACTTCAAGCTAATAATACTTGAAACAGTGTAATACATTTTAATTTACTGTATAAATATATACATTCAATGAATAAATACCACATGTTCAGGTGATTATGCAAACCTAAATTTGCTGTAGTAATGCTAACAGAGTATTTTAATAAAGCTTTAGCTTTGGGAATACTGCCCACTTGTGTTGAAGTGGTGGTAAAGCACAGGATGATGAACAAGTACGAGTTTTTTGATTTTCGGAAAGTGATGAACATCTACCCTCAGAAGTCTGGGAATGTTTTTAAATATAATTTGATTGCTGAATGTTAAACCCCAACCCAAAATGAAAACATATTTTAGTATACTAGAAATCGCTTTAATTTGCAGTTTATAATATATTACCACTATAAATGAAATGTTGGCAGGAGCAATGGATAGCTATTTTAACATTATTATTATTATTATTCCTCTTATAGTCTATTTTTTCTTAACCTGTGTCTGCAAAATTGTGGATTAAAAAGAAACTTGCTTATGTGCCTAAAGATCTGGAAATGGCAGATTATCTGTGAATTTAGTTGATGCTAAGCTACCTAGCACAAAATTGGCTCCAGTGTAGCTAACTGTTGAAGACACTGTCATAGTTAATTTATTTGTATTTTAACTCTGCAAAGATAAAGAATCAATCAGTAGCTTCTAATTGTACTTTCATGCGCATGTTTTGAAATTTGCTAGTGATTTCAGGTGCCTAGCTGGACTCCTTTAAAGGTTCAAGGGGGTCAGGAACCAGCATTTTCAGGAAATCAGACCCTTTTAATTAGGGTGACCATATGTCCCAGATCGGCCGGGACAATCCTGGATTCTGGAGGCTGTCTCAGAGAACTGGCCATTAAAGAAAACTGAAGCAAAAGTCCCAGATTGGCAAGAATCTGCCCGTGTGTGGCTCCTGAGTCAGAAGCCGGGCACATGTGGGTGGATTCATGCCAACCAGGGACTATTGCTTCAGGTTTCTCAAGGGAGCTTAGCCAATGGGCTGCTCCCTCGTCTGGACTCCATTGGACTGCAACTGGAGTCACTTGCCCAGTAGAGTCGGGATTGAGGAAGGTGTGTGGGCATGTGTGTGTGTGTGCATGTGTGTGTGTGTGTATGTGTGCATGCGTCATGCTGTCTCTCCTGGTCCCTGGGAGCCACACGGTCATGGGTGGTGCCCCCTGTCCCAGATTTCCCTCAAATTATTATGGTCACCCTACTTTTAATGCACTTTATGTTGGGCACTTAGCATTACTACTTGATTTTCCTTTTGTTGCCAAATTTATTTCCTTAGTAATAAAAACATAAGAGCCATGTTTGTAGAAATGATTATCATGAGTATTGTTGTGTGTCTGTAAATGGCTAGCTAGCAAATACTGTAAACAGTTTGATTATATGACCAGTGACTATGTACATGTGGAACTGTCTAGCTGCACAAATATGTGAAACTGAATGTGGATTCTTGCATAAGAATCTGAAGCCTCCTTTTTTAAAATGTAGCACTATATTTTACAGGTTTCTTTTTAAAGGGGAATACTAAAGTTTTATTAGCACCATATTTGTTCTGCTCTTAATCAGTCTCTGAGCACCTTCACATGAAATAAATTGGAAATATCAAAGTTCTACTGAGCTTTATGAAGTTTGACTGTTCTCCTTTTCCATAATATAATACCACTGTTTAGGATAGTTAGGGCCTTCTTACACATTGCATTTTGATCTGCTCAAAAGTTGATCAGTGTTAGTGCTAGCACCATGCCCATATTTTGAAATAGTTTGATGCAGTCACACCTTAAGTCTAAAAACTTTCTGACTGTCCTTCACCTGCATGGCTGTGACTTGCCACTAGAGGGTTGGTGAGCAGGAGCCTGACTAGGAGCTACAGCTGTGAGTTGCCACTACAGGTGTACAGAGTCAGGACAGGCTTCTATATAGGTGGAGGTATGTGAGTGATGGGTTGGACAGTGGACAGAAACATGAATCTGGGAGGCAGAGAGTTAATGGGATGGGTAATGACATGGGAGGTGCAAAGGAAATAGGGGTGGGGGAAGGGTGGTGAAATGAAGGAAGGTAGCCACTGAAGGATAAAATAAAAAGATGTAAAAAATAAAAATATTTTAAAAAGGAATAAGGAGCAAGTAAATTAAAGAAGGTCTCATGTTCTAATAAACTGGGATTTGGGAATGGGATGTGGGGGGTGCTGGTCATGTTTCCTGAGGTGGCTGGGAAATGGAAGTGGTGTGGGAAGGTGCTTTTGTGGGGGATATTGCCTCTGTCCTGGGAAGGAAGCCCTAGCTCATGGGGACCTGATCCAGCCCTCAGCCTTATTCCTGCCAACCCTCTCCCTAGACTCCACTCCCGTCCATGCCCTGTGACTTAGCCAGCTGTCATGTGCTTTGCAGTCTGTTTTCATGGGGTTGCATCCATGGGGGTGGGAAGGTCACACCTACAGGGTTGTGGAAGGGAGTTTGCTTGGTGTGAGAACTGCCCCCTGGGCAGTAGAGTTCAGGGGGTGGAAAATTTGTCCACACAGAACAGGAGGGTGGGGGAAGGGACACTGTATCCTGCGATGATGGAGGACTACAACGTGGGCAGTTCCTCATTGACAGCCACACTTCAGTGGAACATGATCTGAGTAACATGGATCAGAGATAAACCTGCCCAGGAGTGCTGTAACTTTAAGCCATCTAAAGTGTGCTTAAAAATAGTTCAGGTGTTAATGTGTGGACAATCCAAGGGTTAAGAGCTCCAGGAGCCACCTAAAATTAATGTTTAACCAGGCCCTTAGTAAGTGTAACAGCATAAATCTTTTGCCTTTTACTAAAGATTTCCGTGGAGAGGAGCAGTTAGTTACTCATTGAGGTAATGCAGGCAGGGATCAGAAATAGCTTTGGATCATCAACAGTAATATCCTGAAAGATTTTGCATGCTTCTTGTGGAATTCTGAGAAATCTTAACAGCCACTGATTTTACTGCAGTTGAGCTGCCTCAATATGCTGATCCCTGAGAGATTCTTTAACTTTATAGTAAGGTTTTAGGATTGTAATTTAGCTTAAACATCTCAAAATTCAAGGAACCCAGAAGAAACCTGGCACTTCACTAAAATTATTTACCATTATGTATTTTATACCTTATTGCCTTCAGTTTGGTGAATAACTATTAATATTCCCCAGTGGTTAAAGAAGTAGTTTAGTGAATCTTTTACTATTTTGTTTCTCAGAAGCATGACTAGAATAATTTGGCTTAGCAAAGATTTCACAAGACAAGATGAATATCTTCCAAGGGCAAAATTGCAAAGCAGCATAGTTGCTAAGCTTAACTGGTGGCATACAGACATTCATTTTTACCAGAAGAAATATCTCCCTGGGTACCAGAGGGCTGCTCCCACTGTTAGTTTACAGTGTGCCCTCTCCCCTGCCTGGGAAGGGGGAAGGCTGTCCAATTGCAAATGGCACCTGCTGAAAAGAAGCAGGTACCACAGACAGCTAGGGAGGGTTCCCACCCTGGGGGAATGCATCCTCATCCTGCCAATCAGCTGATTGGTAGGAGGGGGCATTTTCCTAGGGTGGGAATCCTCCCAGTTCTCTGCATAAGAATAACCCCACTCCTTGCACTCCTTCAGGTGAACCTGGGGGACAGCAGGGAGAGGAAGAAATGCTCAGTTGCTCTGGTAAGCTTTGACAGCTTTGTGGCAGGGGCATGGCAGCCTGCCTTGCAGGATGAGGCGGCAGCATTCTTCTGTGTCAGCAGAGCTCTTGAGTCTTGCTGCCATGGCACATCAGCTTGCCTTGCCCTGCACTGCTATGGGTCAGCTGGGTTGCATGGGTAGCAAGGGCAAGCAAAAGGGGCTGGGAGCCAAGTTGGAGCAAGCCTCTGCATACCAGTTTCCCAGGCCCTTTGGTTTTTCCTTGTCCAGTACCTAAAGGCAATTTCCACAGCCCAGCATATGGCTCTCTGCTCCCCCTTGTCCTGACACCTGCTCAGTGGTGGAGTGTCAATTTAAAAGCCAGTGGCTGGAAGCATGTTCACTTCCAACCAGCAGCTTTTAAATCGCTGCCCTGCTGCTCAGCTGGGCAATAGAGATGACAAGGAGAAGCTGGTGAAGGCTGGTAAAGCCCCCACCTCTTCCTGAAACTGGGGACTGCCTTATTTGGGGAAAAGACAGGGGTGGTGGGAGGGGGGGGAGCAGGTGCTCCCCATGCATTTTCAAGACCAGATGGACTCTGGTCTCAGGAAGGCAAAGGACGTTCATCTCAGCTCCATTCCCCACTCCAGGGGGAAAGCACATAGACAGTCAATCTCCCAGAAGAAACTCTCCTGGGAGCTATTTACCCTGGTTGTTACCAGGTCATTTTTCTCCTGAAGTGGACATTTTCATTCCAGGAGAAAAAACATGAATATCTGGACACTTTTGGCTTCCACTGGGAGAATGGTAATTCTTCCAGTAGCACCTGGATGTCTGTACTTGGCTTAAGTTAAAAAGCCAATTTCTCTCTGAATTTTGTTTCATTTTAATGAAATAACACTCTTGGAAAACCAACACATACTGCCCAAGCGCCTAGAATACTTCATTTTATTTAGGGGGGAAAACTGAATTTAATTAAGTTGTCATAATTCTAATAATTTTATTTTATTATAGGTATCTCTTATGCCTAAGAAATTCTAGCTGAAAAAACCACACACCTGAACCTTTAAAAATATCTTAGCACAACAAAATGAAAACACAAAATGAAATGATAATATGCAGCTTACCTTCCACAATGTAAATATAAGAAGTGCAAGAATCAATAGTCCAACAATAATGCTGAGTAAAATGACCCATAATGGAACACGACTGGATTTAGTATCTTTTAAAATTGTAATCTTGTTCTGTAAATTATTTCAAATATAAATGTTAATGGTATTTTCTCTAAAACAATGACAATATTACTTGTATTATAGATACCCACTTTGAGGAGTATCACAGTTTCATTTTTTTACTAGGAATTTCCCAGAGGAAGATGAGAATATAACCGCCAATATGAAGCTTGCTATCTAGGCAACTCTCATCAGATGTATCAAGTTCACTACTATAAATGCTGCTGTGCTGTCTGATTAGCATAATAATAATAATAGCTTGTCGTGGTTCTCCAGTTCTCATGCAGGAGTACTGAAAAAGACTGCACCCCCTAGGTTGTCTACAACACATTTTTAATAATTCAAAGACTATATTAAGCTCTTCTCTACATTGAAAGGTTGCAATGGCTTGACTAAATATATGATTTTAAGACAATGTAGTTAAATCAGTAAAGAAGGTTATACAGATACTCTGATTTTAAGCCAGTTTTATTTGGTTTTATTAGCAAATGATTTAAACCAAACTGAAATAGGGTACTCCTAAACTGAAATCCGTTTGCATTAGTTTAATCTAAACTGGTTTAAAAACTCATTTAAGTTGATCCAGAGCAAGTTTTCTGTGTAACAAGACCTAAAAACCTGAAAACTAAATATTCAATGTAAAGGACTTGACATCCTAAGAATAGTATTTCAAACTCTAAATGCACTGAGGAACCAGTCCAAAGTATCTTCCATCCATGCCAAGCATATTTTAATTCATGTACTGAATATTAATGTGTGACTTTGTTTTGCTATACAAATTTAAGTGTAGAAGGGTTTTAATGAGAAGGCTGAAGGTTCATCACTGATACAATTCCAAAAGGAGTATGTACAAGACCTGATTTTCCTTAAATATCATTTCCACAGAAAATTTTGAGATAGTTCAATATAACATAAAGTTAGATTTTTACAGAAAGTTAGCACTGCAGTAAGCTATCACAAGTAGGTAAAAATCAAAATGACCTTAGATAAAAGTACAAGATAAACCATATTCAAGATGTTTTAAAGAGTTTTTAATAAAATGATAAATTTAAAATATGGTAGGTAGGAAGATAGATATAAAAATCCCTGTTCTCATATTATATATGAACTTTTTGCGAAATTTCCTATACATTTTGATTAGTTCATATGGGCTATTTCAGATCAGGCACATACAGGAGGGGCAGATGTATTTAAAAAAAAAAAAAAAGATCCTGTTTTCCTGTATAAGTCTTTGGTAATAAAGATGAGAGAACAGAATTAGAGAAAACACTGTATATAAGTAGTATGGTTTCAAAGTATTTATCTATACTTTAAATTATTAATGCTCTAAAAATAATTATTTTAAATCTGCTTCTAATCTTGAAGAATAGGCACAATACTAGTTTACTGCAATGGCGAGAAGTATGCAAGGTAGGTCATTTTTCATGTCCTATGTAGATTGGTAAATAGGTTGTATACTTATCATTATTGATAATGTTATTTCAGGTCAGGTCAGAAATTTTGCTCTTGGAAATATTTTGGCTACTCAAATTGAAAATGTCTACCTCAGACAGCACGTCTACACAAGAAGCTACAGTGACATAGCTTATCATCATGGTAGTGTCAGCAGTCACAAGCTGTGACTCTGATGCTACGTCGCCGTAGCTCATCACTATGGCGACGTAGTGTCTAAAAATAACCATGTACCGCCAGGACTGCGCAGTACTGAACGCGCAGTCAGGGGCACGTGTAGACGTGCCCACTCAGAGTAGCAGCTAATTGCTGCAGGTGGTAAACAGAACATGCCATTAGCAGAGTAAATCCAACAGAGGGTGTCAGAGACTATGGTTGCACATACCTCTAAACTTTCATTTTCTCTTCGTAAAATCAGTGAGGAGTTTTTACTTTGAAGTAATGCTTTTACTACGAGTGTTAAATTGCGAATGCTTGCCTAGAAGAAAACAAGAGACTATTTTTAAGGTTAAGTATTTTAATTTGAAAGATGAATCAGTGCCTCTTCAGCTTGCATGGGAACGTAAGCAGGGGATGAATGCAAACATTAATGATAAACAGCAAAATATCAGGGAATAAGCATAGTGAGGTGCTACTGGAATTGTTAAAGAAAACTGCAGAGAAATATGGATCTCTGGCCAAATCCTGAAAATTGCCTGGCCCCATTGTTTCTCCCACCTCCTTGGAGCCTTAAAGAATTAAACCCCAAAAAGATTAAAATTAAGGCATTGAAATAAAAACATGGAATTAAGCTTGATTTAAGGCCCCAATCATGCAAAACTGTATGCTTTTAAGCAGCAAATACTCCTTTTGAAGTCATACAGGGCTGGAGTCTAATACATCTTTATAAATAAGGTAAAGATTAGGTATTTAAAGAGGACAGATTTTTGCAATATCATATTGCTGAGACAGCAGTCTGTAATACAAAATACTGAATAACTGGACACTGCTTTGGGCCACATACACAATGCCATGAATGAGAAATGTCCTGTATACATTTTTGAAATAATTAAAAGAATAACTTTCTTGTTCTACACCTAGCTAAACCAAAGAGCAATCTACTTTTTTTGTGGAAAAACTAGAGAAAGAGAGAGACAAACATGCATAAAATGACTACTGGCCTACTGATCCAGAGTAGTAGTATTAGCCTAACCTGTATTTTCCAAAATTCCTAGTGAGTGCCCTAACCATCAGGGTGATTCTGGGGTAGCTTGCTCACTCTTGTTCTCTCTCTGTTTCTCACCAGAAATTTTATTCTGGATGAGAGAAACATTTCCAGGATAAGATTTTACTAAAACCTGATACATTCCAATGAAAAAGCTCAGTTTCAATGAATCAGTATTTTCTACTGAAAGAAAATTTTGTCAAAAAAATCCTGATCAGAAATCATCATATCACATAACAGGCAGAGAGAACAAGCAGTGTTAGTCTAAAGTCAGAAGGCAAGGTAGAAGTGCACCTTACAGACTAACTGAATCAGAGAGGCATAAGAACAGGTAGGTGCTAGTGCTTGCCAAGCTTCTTTAGGTAAATGTGATATTTTTCATTAGACCAGCTAAATAGTTGGAAAAATTGTTTTGCAAGCTTTCAGGTACCAACACCCTTCTTCAGGCACAGGGAGAGTTTGTTGATTCTTGCACTTGTTGAAGTGCTTGCCAAAACACTTCAAGTTCTGTGCTTTCTAATGGTCCTTCATTTCTGGGCACCTCGGCAACAGAATAGATGTAGATTAATTTTGAGAGAATAGCATGGAAAAAGATGGCAAATAGTCAGCTACTAATGAGAATTAAGGAATTAAATATACATGTACATACTAGATAAACATAACATTGCCTTAATATTGTTTCAGCTTCATAAGGACACCGAACGTCGACAAGGTACTTACCTTTATAAAAGTATATTTCCATATTCTTAATGAAACATTCACTTGAGATATACCAGATGGGGCCAGAAAACAATTAATAGATGCACAGTTGTGTGTTTCACAGTCCTGTTTAAAATGAATAATCACACACTTTCTGCATTACTCTAGAATAACATAACTTCAGACATACTACATGTAGACCAGTATCTGGCAGTAGTTTAGCTCTGACAATTAACACTAACATACTTTGGGAAAAGTGGCTTTTCTACACAAAAACTTACATTGCAATAACTAAATTGATTTAACACTCAGACTCTGAGGGAGAATAGTGGAAGTTTTGGTAGACTTGTCCACATTAGATAGATTGCTGCAACTATAACTAATGGAGATGAAGCAGACAGGCATGTTTTTCTGCTAGCATAGCCACATGACCTCCTTGTACGACAGAAGCTAAACTGACAAAAAACACTCTACTGCTGCCATAACTACATCTACACCGGAGTGGTGTCAGCTAGGAAGTATGACTTCTTATGCTCCTAGCTGACTAGTTATATTGGAAATACTTTGTTGTGTAGATCTGTCCTGTATAGACTTATTCTGACTTTGATCAAAACCTCTTCACAGAGGTGTAAATGATGATGCAAATTATTTGGAAATTGTATCATACTGAAAGGGAAGAATTTATATATTCTATCTGCACTATTTCAAATGGATAAATAATTTACCAGATAGTGGAGAGTGAGGCATTTAAATATTACTTATTCTTTAATTCATTAGAGTAGGAAAGATGGGACAGGAGCTTTGGCATAAATGGGTACAATGCCATAGAAACCAGTGGAGCCACAATGCTCTATACCAGCTGAGGATCTCCCTCAAGGTTCCTCCCTTCAGCTTCATGATAAATATATTACATTTTATATAGAAAGTTAACTTTTTTAGCTGTCAAAATATAAGATTACACTGTATTAACACATTTCTTAAAACAATCTCAGCAGTATTCTGCTTAAAACATTCCAAGTAAATGGTATAATTCAAGGATGCACAGCCTCCAACCCCTGGGCCAGATTTGGCCCATGGAGCCATGGATGTGACCCACAGGATTCCCCATGGTTCAGGAAAGTTGGCAGTGGGAGATCAGTGGCTTGCCCCACTTCCAAATTCTCTCCTCCAACAGGGTTGAGCCAGGGTTGGGGCCAGTTCATGACCTTTCCTTTCCCACCATGGGGCTGGGCTGGAGTCAGGACCAAGCCATGCCCTTTTCCTCCATGCAGCCAGATGGTGTCCCACAATGTCTACCCTGAGCACCCTATCAGGACAATCAGCCAGATCCAGCCCATGGACGGACTGGGCACTGGTCATCCACCCCACTGGGCCAAACATTTGGGCACCACTGGTATAATTAACACATATATATTACACAGACTTACCATGACCATATCTTTTGTAGGTTCTTTTATTTTGGACAACACAAATGGCTCCCCAGAGCTGATCTTTAATGGATCTATGGGATGACTAGTGTTGCA